GGGGAGCAAACCTCGTGCCCCACGTGTGGGGAGAAACTCAGTGAGACCAAAGGGATTGAGGTAGGGCACACGTTTTACCTGGGCACCAAGTACTCGTCTGAGAACAAGCCCCAGCTGGCAGAAATGGGCTGCTACGGCCTGGGTGTCACTCGCATCCTGGCGGCCTCCATCGAGGTGCTCTCCACTGAGGACAGCATCCGCTGGCCCAGCCTCATCGCTCCCTACCAGCTGTGCTTCATCCCCCCCAAGAGGGGCAGCAAGGAGGAGGAGGGAGCGGTGCTGCTGGAGCAGGTGTATGATGACCTGGCTGAAGCACTGCCCCACCTGGCTGGCGACTCAGTGCTGGACGACCGGACCCAGCTGACCATTGGTAAAAGGCTGAAGGACGCCAAAAGGCTGGGCTATCCCTACGTGGTTGTAGCTGGGAAGAGGGTCTGCGAGGACCCTCCAGTTTTTGAGGTTTGGAATCAGAATGCTGACGAAGTTTTGTTCCTCACCAAAGAAGGGGTCATAGAGCTGCTGAGTAAAGTGCAAGTCCCTTAGATGCCTCCTCTCTGAGTCTGTCATCTCTGCTGCAATGAGATTGTCTGAGCAGCCCTGGCCATGGCTCTGGGTGAGCAGAGGCAAATCCAGCACACATCAGAGCCAGCCACAGTGTCCTGCAGGTGTGCCAGGTGCTGAGGTTGAGCTGGAATCAGCCCACATTCCCCCACAGGGCTGGGGACGTTCTTCCCTCTGGATACAGGTCCCTGGCAGCTGCTTTTTCCAGCACTTGTAGCCTCGTTGGCTGTGGGAGCACACACCGCCTGGCAGGGACAGACTGGTCATGGCCTCTGTCAGGAGCACAGGACAGCCAAGACAGCACAGGGGCACAGGAGGGCTCCCCTCACTGCCACATTCTCAGCATGAAGAATTCTAAAAGAGAGACAAAGGAAGGTGACTTTCCTTTGTTTGCATCTCTTTGGGAGCACTCGGGTCCCATGAAGGTGGAAGCTTGCCATGGCAGGCCCTGGGGCTCCCGTGAGGAACAGCTTGGTGCCATCCCAGCAGCACTGATGGACAGGGACCTGCTTGGAGGGGGTCACCTCACCCTGTGCCACAGCTCCTCTGTGTGAGATCGAGAGATCATGAGCAACAGCGGTACCACTGTAATAAAATCACTGAATCGTTTAGGTTGGAAAAGGCCTTTAAGATCATTGAGTCCACCCATTCACCTGAGCTGCCAAGGCTCAATCCCTGTCCCCAGGTGCCATATCTACTGCCCGTTAAATCTCTCCAGGGATGATGACTCCATCACTTCCCTGAGCATGCTGTTCCAATGCCTGACAACCCTTCTGATGAAGAATTTTTTACTAATATCCCCGCTGGGACTGGGGGGGGACGACAGTGGGTCTAAATGAGGGGGGCTGGGGCTGATGCCGGTACCAGCTGGATGCCCATCGGAAGGAGCGGGGCCGGGCTTGAGATGGGGGAGAGTGGGATGCTGGTGCCGGTACCAGTGGGTTGCCGGTGCGATGCCCATCGGAAGGAGTAGGGCCGGGATTGGGGTGGGGCAGGGTGGGATGCCGGTGCCGGTGGGATGCCGAAGCGTGTCCGATGCCGGGGCCGGTGCCGATCGGAAGGAGTGGGGCCGGGCTTGAGATGGGGGAGAGTGGGATGCTGGTGCCGGTACCGGTGAGGTGCCGGTGCCGATCCCGGTGGGATGTCGGTCCCGGTGGGATGTCGGTCCCAGTAGGATGCCGGCGCCCATCGGAAGGAGCGGGGCCGGGCCTGATGCGGCGGGGGCGGTCGCAGGCGGGGCCGGGCGGCAGCGGGAGGAGCAGC